CTAAATAGTACTAAAAGTGTCAGAAAGTCCTTAGAATGCTACTTTATACAAAGACTGGTTCTGCCGTAGAGACCTCAAGAACTGGTAGGCAGTAGAAATTAAAGAGGACAAAATCTACAACTTATTGTTTCTACATCTGTAAGTGGCAATAGTATGTTGTAGGTGCTCTTGAAATTAGTGGCCACCCAAGGAACAATTTAAAATAGAATGTTGCTGTAGGATTCAAAGATATTAACTTATTTTATTGTTTCCACTTGGCACTTCAAACTGTGTGTGAAATAGTGGGAAGGATTTATAGTTTTCCTGACTTTCCTTTTCTCTAACTTTCATTTGGGTTTCACTGGTTCTTGTGGTAAGCCCTGGAGGAATTTCACTCCATCATCTTTGCTGCGCTCCCTAATGTGACCCATGTTCATTTTCTTTTAGTCTGGGAAGGCATAACAATGACATTAGGGCACCAACAAATCAGCCCTAATGCCAACCCACAGTGGTGATTGTTTCGCACTGTATTGTTTTTCATTCTTATTTTCATGCACATGTTCGTTAATGCCAGCACTGCCCTAAAGCTCCCTGAAAGCACATTTCAATGATGGTAAGACCAGGCCAAGATTGAGACATTGAGCTTCTTTCTAGGCCAAAGCACGAGAGACTAGAGGGTCAGCAGTGGCTGAACCCAGGTCTGCTGTGAGCACACAGGGAAGGGTGCCATCTGCAATGCTGTTACGTCACAGTAACATGCAGATCATATCTTGCTACACATATGGCTATACTTAACAGAATTAGCTTTAGTATAGATGGATCTTTAGACAATTGTCCACGTATTGGAATTTGTGGGGTGCAGAAAGCCTCTCTGCATGCAAAATGGCACTCTAGTTCTGTCAAGGTTTGTGTGATAAAAACAAGTAGGTGACCTTATTGAGCACCCACCGTGTGCCAAAAAAATGAACTAAGCTATTTGATTTCATTGCCTTTAAAGTGTGTTACACATTTGATTTCATTTAAAGCTCACAGCAAACCTAGGAAGTAGATGATAAAATGATGGTGATTTTAAAGTTCAGGAAACTAAGGCATGAATTGACATAGGAGCCAGCAATTGGCAGAGTATGGTTTAAACTCAGTCTCATCTAAGAGCCCACAGGATCAAGCACAGTATTAGGGAAAACGTCAACTGCAGGCCTAATCACAGCTGAGTTCCAGATCCTGTCCCCTCCCTCACTCTGGGTTCTCAGCCAGAAGACCTAACCACCGCCGAGCCTTGACATTCCCACCCCTCAGAGAGGAAAACAGCAAGGGCTCCCCATCTTCCACACACTGGATTTTTATTTTTACTTTTTTGTTTGTTTTGTAAAAGGCAGATGAGATAAAAGAAAGCAATTTTAAAATAACTCTGAAGCAGGTTCAATTCTGAGAGTTTCAGACATGTCTGATAAGGGTGCAGAGAAATAACCAGCCTAGAAGGTCATTTGCATGGAATCTGAGGTGCTTCCTGGGGTAAGAAATTAACCAGTGTCTCAGAAATAACTGGGAATACATGACTTGATGGATTTCTATTTGCAGGGGGTGTCAGGGTAGATTTACCTAAAAACCATATTTTTATATATTTAGTACATGAATTTATTAAATACATAAATATATATTAAATATGACATGATAAATATATTATGCATAACATAAATATGTCTAATATAATATTGCTATGTATATATATTTGTATATTTACAGCTCTAGTCATCAGAGGTCAGGAGGTGTTTAGAGTGGAGCACTGTTGCTATTAGTAAAATCTTTCTCCCAGTCCAGCCCCTTGGATGCATGACTATGTCCTAAGAGAAAAAGTTTTAATTAAAAACATGGAAGACCTATTTTACTGAGTGGTGTGGCACATCAGGGCACAGTTAATATTACTCCAGTGTCACATAACATGACAGGTAGGGAGCCACTTTTTTCATTCTGTCACGTTTTACCACACAGCTCAGGAGGGCTTAGGGTGGCCACTGACGGAAAATTGCTTTGCTTGGGAGAGAAGCAGGAGAGATCAAGCGCTCCATACGGAGCAGATCCGAATGGTTTCACTGCTGGCAAGACGCAGCAGAATGGTGGCGGGGCAGCAGCAGAGCAAGCCCGCAGTGACCACAGATATCGAACAACTGGGCCCAGGTGGCGTTTGGGGAGCAGAAGTGCACCATGAATGGAAACCATCGTGGTGTACTACATGGTGACAGATGCAGGGGGCGAAACTGCTGTGTCGACAGGAGTGTGGAGCACTGCATGGCCCGACTGAGCACGTGGGGTACCTGGTGGAACAGTGTGGATACCAAGAGTGTAAAGCCCACGGAACTGCCAGAAATATTTAGAGAAAATTTTGCCAGAAGCTGGAATTTCTGCATGAGGAGGTGGGCACCAAAACTAGGTCATCGGGGTGATCCCTGTGAGGTAATTTGTAAAATTATCTAATAGAAATTATTATTACTGTATTTCTATAGTATTAGGTATATAAGAAGGAATCAGAATTTCACGTTCGTTCTAACATGATATTGGAAATTTTCATCATTTTTGGACAAAAGGCATTTCTTTCATTCTTCCATGCATCCACTGAAATGTATTTGGAAGAGGGCCAGTTGATAATTCACGTACAAGGGGAATTTTGAAAATGTCATAGAGAAATAAAATTAAAAGATAATACGATTAAGATGTACGATATTAAGAACAGTTCACTTGAGAGGAATAACAAGCCTCCCTTTACCAAGTAGATGGAACAGAATGGCACCTTTTGATTACAAGAAGGAGGGAGAGGAAAGTAGAGAAAAATTAGAGGTGGTCCTGCTATGAAAGACTTTCCGGGAGTTGCACTGGGGACGCTGGGAACCATGGCAGGGGAGCCTGCCCAAGGACAAGAGGAGGCTTCCTGTTGGGCTTGGGGCTAACCCTGAGCACCGGTGAGGTTCAAAATGTACTGTGTAAGGTGAACACAGAAAAGCATTGTGCAAAAAAAGGAAGGGAAGAGAAGGCAGCATTCAAAGTCCCTGATGAAGAAGTCATGTGGGAGATGAACATGGTGCCGGGAACTCTGAAAGCGCTTGTGCTGTCACAATACACCACATCTATGCTTGTGCGTCAGATGAACCACTTGACTTGAATTTTCATGTGTGTGGAAAAATACATACATTTAAACTCTAGAACCACTCTTAGTGCTTCAAAATGCTGAGATATCTGTAAACAAAGAACAACTGAGGGGGGAAATGTACTGATACAAAGAAAAGAAAAAACCCAATGCATACCTCTTGTCCCAGGCTCAATCCAGGCCATGTGCTTGTGGATGGGAATGACGCAATCTGCTGCGTCATTCCCATATTTAAAGTGGTATTTCTCTCTCAATTTTTGAGGCATTCAAACATATAGTTGATGCCTCGAAAATTATATGCACTTATTCTGCAGTGCTATGGCAGAATATACTTGCATGTATGCTGTGTTTCTTAATTCTTTCCAATTAAAACTTCCCAGTGGAAGTTTCATATGCTTCCATGCTTATAAAATGTCTATGCCAAGAATGCCTACACAACATGATATTCACAGTCAACTATCTTGTGTTGAGTGCTCAGTAGGAGCCAGTGGGCTGTGCATTAACATACAGCACTTACATCATCATTCTATCACTGCTATGAAGTAGGTTTTTAAAAAATTGTTTTTGAAATAATTATAGATTCACAGGAAGTTGCAAAAAATAGCACTAAGAGGTCTCATGTATTCTTCACTCAGTTAAATAACCACAGCACAATATCAAACAGGAGGGTGACATTGATACAATATATGTGTATAGCTCTGTGCCATTTTTTCAGGTGTAGATTTGTGCTTCCACCACCACATTTGAGACACAGAACTACTCCATCACCACAAAGATCTTTTTTGGTGCCACCTCTGTATAGTCACCCTCCCCTCTTCCCACCCTGCCCCCCCAATCCTGGGGCAATCACTCATCTGCTCTACCTCTTTATAATTCTGTAATTTCAAGAGTGTGATGTAAATGAAATCAGAACATGTGGCTGTCTGAGACTAGAAATTTTCACTCAGCATCCTGCTCTGAGGCTCTTGCAAGCTGTTGCACGTATCAGTGATTTGACCTTTTTATTACTGAGTAGAATCCTGTGGTTTGGATGTACCATGGTTTGTTAACTACTTCTCTGTTGAAGAACATTTCAGTTGTTTCCAGTTTTGGGCAATGACAAATAAAACTACTATGAACATTTACGTACCAGTTGTTGTGATGCAGGCTTCAATAAACACATTTCAGAGCTAAGTCTGAGGAGATAAATAAATTCTTCAAAGTACACTTCTAAGCCACTAACAGGTATCTGAACCCAGCTGTTTTTACTTTATCTCCTGTGTTGTTCCCATTATCCCATATTAACTGAGAACAAACTGTTCACAGTGTAGAAAAGTAATGATTATACATATGATTACTTCTTGATAAAACATTAGTTTTAAAATAATATCTGCTCAATGACTTGACTGCTTTTAGCATCACGTATGCACATTCATTCACTCATCCATTCACAAGAACAAATGTTTGAGTATCTAGTAGGTGTCAGGACCTGTGCTGAGTGTTGAAGCAAGGTGCTTGCCTTACAGAAGATTTTACAAAATACCATGTTTGTAGTGTAGAGGCAGCCTGCTCTGTTACTTGGTTTGAACAGTGTTAAATTTTAGTTAGAAAATGTTCATTCAGAGTTAATGAGTGCTATAATATGTAAATGTGTGTTCTTCAATTTAAATTTGGTGAAAGATTTGGGTTAATATACTTTGTCTTGTATTAGGAAAGCAATTGCTGATCGTGCATGCACAAATAAAAGATCTAATTTTGCAAGGTATGCTATTCAGTACTTCTTTCAAGGAGGGGTGAAGTTCAGATGGATTTTTGTTTTTATTTTGTTTACAAATTAATGGTTTCTTCTGCTTATTTTGTGTGTTCTTATTATGCTTATTCTGCTTATTCTTTCCCCCAATAGCATGAAAAATTAATCAACCGTCCACAGAGTACCAAAAGAATTTCTACAGATCCTTTAGGTAAGGAATATTTTCTCTGTCCTTATTATAGTGCTTTCCCCCCCTTATATTATATGTAGATGTGACTCCTTTTATGAAAGGAATGGAGAAAGTGACTTCCAAATTTAAGCAATCATTAACTTTATCAGTTTAATAAGCGGATTTTCCTTGGGAAGTCATGTACATACCAACCAAAATAGCATTCTTGAATATGAGCGTACTTCAAAAAGTTCATAGAAAGATACATATTACCTTTTAATTCCATTTTTCCACAAACTTTTTGAAGTACCCTTATATGAATGTAATTAAAGTTGTGTTGAAATCTCCAATAAATGTGAACCTTACTAAAAATTATTTTACTCAGATAACTAGTAATTGCTTAGTTCAGTAAATAGACAACTACAGTTTGTTTTAAAATGTTGCAAATCTTTAAGTGTGGTCAGTTCAAACCAACATTCGAGGTCAATAGATTTAAAATAGAGGTATGTATTTGTATAAAACCACAAGGGGAACATTTAATATTTGGTTTTGGTTATGCATAATCCAGTTACATAAAAATGACACAGACGTCAGGGTAGAATTTGACACTTTTGGCCTTTGAAACAATTCATTTTGGGATGTTAATAGCTACTAATAGGATAATTTATTGATCTTCAAAAGACATTAGTAAGTGTGTTTTGATTAGTCTGTCAGGTGTACCATAGATGGCACAGAATTCCAGTCAGGGTTTTCCCTTATGAATTCCTATAAAAAATGCATAGGCTTTACTGAGCTACATCAGGAGCAGGGTGGGAATAGACTCTAGTATAACACATCCTCCCCAGGACAATAACACTATTTTAAAAGAGCAGATAATGTAGAAAACAAAACAAAACAAAACAAACAAACAGAAAAAGATGAAAGCTCAGCAAGTTTAAATAATGTTAACTTTTGAAGAATTTGATGTTTAAATAAAAACACAATCACTGCCATCGTTAACAACCACCAGAGAGCACAGGAGTATAATGACCCTTCTTCTATGTACTAGGAAGTCTTAGGTTGTTACACAGGTTAGGAGGTATTGGTCCCCACAGAAATCTTCCTGCAGGACCAATGTCATGAGAGCTGCTGCAGGAAGGATGATAGTAAATGAGGTTAGACATTCTGAGTAAAAACATTAAAACTACGAAACATTTAAAATGCCAAGTTGAGAAGTTTAGACTTCTACAAGAGCTTAGGAAGACCCTACAAGAGCTTTATTAATAGGAGACAGATAAGATCAGATTAGACTTCCCAAACTTCTCTCTATTCTTTTGTGTGGAAGACCAAAGTGAGTCCAAACTAACAGCAGGGATACGAGTTAGAATCCTGGTTCCTACTCAAGGATAGAGACAGGTAGGACACAATTAAGATTGAGTCAGTAATGCTGGAAAGTAGGGGGAATATTGGAGATGTTTTGAGTTAGGAGCATCAGAGTGAAGGAAGATCTGGTGGATAAAAGAAAAGGCCAAAGTTGATGATTTTGATTCTAGAAATATGTCCTTTGTGTTGGCTGTAGTATACATTGGTAAAGACAACTAGGATATGAATATTTCAAATGCTACACCAGGATTTAGGAAAACAAAGAGATAAAGGTGTAAAAGATCTGGATATTTCACACAGAGGAGATGGTTAAGGCAGTGTGAGGTGATGAATTCATTGAAGGGAAAGGACTGAGATAGAAGAGGCCTGACATGGAATCATTCATTCAGCAATATCAGGAGGAAGAAAGTCGGCAAAGGGCAGGAAAGAGAGGAGGAGCATCAGAGGAGGCCTGGCTCCAAGGAGAGGACTGCAGAGCTTCGTGGGAGTCAGGGAAGGTGCAGGCTGAGAATCGTTGCTTAAGTAGTAATTTGGAGGGCTCTAGGAAGATTTGAAAGAAAGGCATCAGTAGGGCTTCAAAAGAAGGAAGAGAGCCCCCGAAGTGAGGGTTTCAGTAGTGAGTCGATAGTGAGAAACTCAAAGCCCGAAGTTTACATAGTCAGTAAAAGATTTTATGGTAAAGAGAAGGGAAGAAATAGCACAGTAGCTTGACATAGCAGAGGCAAGGAAAGAGGACATCTGAGTGTTTGTAAGAAGCGTGGAAGGAACCCATGGTGAGGAGGAGATTAAGGGACAGGTGTGAAGGGAAAATATTTGATGAAAATCGCTGTGGGGGACAGAATCCAGAAAATGAGAAGTGAGATTTTTGCAAGAAAATGATTTTGAAATAAAAACAAGGTTATGAGAACTCAGGTCAAATGACTTTGGATAAAGTTGGGGAAACATACACAGACTAAGTGAAACAGAATGAGAGTGAGATTGGGGTTTAAGAATGGGAGAAAAGTTCTTGGTCATTGCTATGGAAATTTTAAATTAAGTTTAGGAAAAACAATATTTTAAAAATGGTTTTGTAAGCTACAAAGGGCTCAAATGGTAAAAAGCAACACAGTGTTTGTTGATCACATTCAACTTATTTTCATAACCTTGGGCAGCCCAGTAGTTGAATGCAGTGTGAGTAAAGCAGAGTTCATGTTGACACATTGAGAACAATAAAAGACAAAGAGAACAACATATTTCAAAGTGGTTGCAAGACCACCATTGATGTATATAGCTGAACATTTGGAGCAGCATGGGTACAGAGGTACGTGAGACCCTGCAAGGGTGACTGAATGACTGGGAAGGAGGGATATCAAAGGAATCACTGTTATTAGTGATGGGAGCAAAGAACCATAGTAAACAGGAGCAAAGGCATAGAAGCCTTGGAAGTTTAGGAGGTGGAGGTCAGCAGTAACACTGAGACACTGGGGCCATGGAGGAGGAATAATTCTGGCTGATGATGAAACATGAGGATTGGCTATGAAAGTCAGTTTTTGTTTTGGAATCAGGAGACAGGTTACTGGAGTTGTCAAGATTAAGGTACTGGGTGGTCGGAAGTGTGACTGATTATCAACAGGGTTGCTGATGAAGCTGCGGGAGACAGATGATGTGGATGGGAAGAGGAAGGCCTGCCCAGGTACCCTGGACATCAAAATGAATGTATTGCACGGTGGTAGCAGAACGTTGGCTTGAAACTGACAGTGAAGAACAAGGATGTGTTGGCCCCTTTTCCTGAGTAGCTTTAACAGAAAAGTGGCTTTACAGTGTAAAATCAGAGTGCAATTTATGGGAGTAGGAGATTGGAAGAAGTAGTTGAGAACAGGGCAGATGGAATTCTTTGCTAACGCCAGAGCAGGGCAACTGGTGCAGGGGTGAGCATGAGAGCTGGAGAAGGAGGCTGTGATGCAGGAGAGGGCTGGAATACGCAAGGGGAGAGAACTAGGGCCTAGGGGTTTTACTCAGAGTAATAGATCTAAATTACACAATAAATACAATAACAACCATAACAACAGGGGGTAGAAAGGAGTCATGCAGAGTAAGGGAAGGGCTATGCTGGGTATACAGGACATGTTCAGAGGAGATGTCTGCAGGTCTAAATAGTTCCAAAGACCAGTGGAAATGTTGGCATAAAAGACTTTCCACAGAACTGCCCTCTGGGTAGTGGATCTTGGTGAGTGTGTGTGTGTGTGTGTGTGTGTGTAGTTGGGTGGGTGTGTGTAGTTGGGTGGGTGTGTGAAGACTGGCTAGCTGCTGTATCATTTATGCATCACGTTAATACTAATAAAGGGAAATATCTTTTTGAACCTAAAAAATATTCTTTAACACAATGCTACTCAAAGTATGGTTGGGGATCCTAGTATCAGCATCTTCTGGGAGCTTGTTAAAAATGCCAAATTTTGTCCCCACCCTAGTCCTACTCAATGAGACTATGTGGTCTGGGGCCTAAAAACCATCTTAACAAGTTCTCCTCGTTTTCGGGTACATTAAAAGTTCAGAAGCATTTATTTTATTTATTTATTTTTAATTTTTTAATTTTAATTTTTCAGTATACAATACAGTTGATTTTCGTGTCCCTTTACTGATTCCTCTTTCCCCCCTCCCTCTCCCCACCCTACCCATCAACATCATATCTGTTCACTTGTCTTAACAAGTTCAAAGAATTATTGTGATTGTTGTGTCTTCTTCCCCGCCCCTCCCATTTACTTGTATATTTATTTATTTATTTATTTTTATCTCCCACAAATAAGTGAGAACATGCGATATTTCTCTTTCTGTGCCTGACTTATTTCACTTAATATCATTTTTTCTAAGTCCATCCATGTTGTTGTGAATGGTAGTATTTCATTCTTTTTTTTTTTTTCCTTTTGTCTTTTTTTTTTTACTGACCGGTAACGGGATCGCAACCCTCGGTGTTGTGCCTGCACCGCGCTCAGCCAGTGAGCGGGAACCGGTCTCCACATGGGATCCGAACCCTCAGTGGGAGCGCCGCCGTGCTCCCAAGCGGCGCACTCTCCAGTGCACCACCGGGCCGGCCCTCATTCTTTTTTATAGCAGAGTAGTATTGCATTGTGTAGATTAACCACATTTTATTTATCCACTCATCTGATGATGGACATTTGGGCTGGTTCCAACTCTTGGCTATTGTAAATAGTGCTGCAATAAACATTGTAGTACAGGTATCCCTCAGAAGCATTTCTAACACTTTGCAATAGCTGGTCCCCTCAGAAGATGACCCCAGCAATGGCAGGGATTCAAGGGCTCTTAACTAACCTCCTGGGCAGTCTTATGTTTCTCTACTGCTCAGGGGCCAACCTAGAAAGCAGATAGATTTCCTATAGACAGGTGTGGAGGGTTAGATCAGCTCAGCCACTAAGAAAGCAAGAAACGGCCCTAACACTGTGTTTTCCGTATGTGCCTGACAGAAGCTCTTTGGGACAACTTGCTCCACTGGCTGGCAGAGGAGCTCTCAGAGGAAAATGCCAAGTCTCTTTCTTCATCCCTCCCTCTGCACCGCAGCACCGTTCAGCTCATCAAACTCAAGAACCCTGACGATCTCACAGAACAGATCCATGAACTTCTTTGCTTCTGGAAAAAATCGCTCCCAACTTCTACTGACAAACCTCGCCTCCTGGCTCGGCATCTTCGCAAGATTGGCAGGAGTGATCTTGCAGAAGAGCTCAAATTCAAGTGGGAAAATAAAGTGTTCACTGAACCACAGCAGTGGTTTGATATGGCAGCTGAGTAGAAGCCGGATGGCTCTTCCTTTTGCCCTAGAAATTGGCTCATGGTGGGTTTTTGAGATTGTTTCTGTCCATATTTTCCTAGCAGCTTCTAAGTAACATCGTTTGAAGTGAGTCTATGTGATAGATATGCTGTTGAGAAATCAATAAGACAAATGGAGAAGACAACAAAAGGCATTCGTGGGTGTGACCGCACCTTGGTGGTCAAATGATGTATGTCCTGTAATCATAACCACCTTGAGTTCCACCAGGCTCAACAGCATCTGCAATAGAGTTTGCCCTGTTTATGTTTTAATAGCTGAGATTGCTTTCTGAGTGCAAAGGGAAGATAAACAGAATCATTTATTTTTGTTATCTACATAAAATTAAACCAGTTATCCACGATTCCAAGCAACCAGTTGAAGTTACATGGATACCATAGAGCCCACAGATAACAATATAAATTAAATTGGACCCAGAGACCTGATGTTGGTGATAGCAAGTCACTTTAAGAAGACAGAAAAGCTAGAAATAAATTAGAAATAGAAATAACACTTCAACCATTTACTGCCACAGTCTCTTCTTTTATAAAAATGTAGCTTGGAATAGAAAAAGTTTCATATCTTATTTTCAGTGAAAAGAGGCACTGCAGAGAAAGGAAAGTGTCACTGAAAGAATTCAGAGCTTATTTCACCTAATTACAAAAGCAACCTGCTTTAAATCAGTGAACTGAAACCTCATTATATAAGCCCTATCTGCTCTTTTCTAAAGACAAACAAAATCTGTAAAAAAATCACAAAACCAAAAAAAAAAAAAAAGAAAAATTAATGATACTTACCAAAACCCCTCTATCCATTGATAATCCCTATTAATGACTAGTATAAGCTTTGAAGTTTTAGAAAACCAAAAGCTCTTTAGCTCCCGAAAGCAGTTTGATATAAATAGGATATTGCATTAGTTTCACTGATTTATTAACGTAAACTGTCAGGGCCTTGGCTTCAAACATTAGTAGCAATTAGTTTCAATTACTGAATACCTACAAATTAATGAAATTATTTGAAAAATTAAATATGGTGATGGCTCTCAAATTTACTTTTTAAATTTATTTATCATTATTATTTTTTTACATTCTAAGATGTTGCAGAGTAGTTGGTGGTGAGGGGAGAGCGGAAGGGGTAGGGGAATAGGGTGAGAGGACGAGAAGGCGGGGGCATGATTGAGGCCCGTGGCACCCCCCATTCAGGCAGGGGAGCCAGGGGGCTTCTGTCTCTTCTAGGTTTTCTAGGTGTTCTTTGGTGATGTCAGACCTTTAGGGTTAATATCAGAACTTTGTCTCTGATCTGTGGATTTTTGTGTTTTCTTTCACCTCTGTATTGGATTATTAGCTACCCCCACCACGTAAACTCTGCACTGGAATAATTTGTTGTCCTTTGCTTACATCTAAAATGGGGGAACTTCCTGTGGGAACCAGCACTTGAGCCCTGTGGTTGAGCTAAATTGCTGCTTTGCTGCTGATTCTCTGGGGAAGGCTTTTTGTGCAGCTCAGGTTTTAATTGCTGACCTTGTAAGCACTACTGGGTCTTGTGAGGTCTGGTACACCTGGGTTGTGTGGAAACTCTGGTCTGGGCCTGACTCTTTTCAGCAAACTGTACCCCTTACCATTCTATATTCCTGACCAGTCTTCACTGAGTGAAGTAAACTGGGTCTGTGCTGATTGGGGGCAGATCAACTGTCCATGCTGTGCCCCAGTGTTCCCCCGGTGGGCCTGTCTCCTCCACTCCCCACACTCCAAACACTTCCCATGGGGTGGAGCGGTGATTGGGTCCCTTGGGATGACTGAGCTGCCTTTGAATGGCTCCTTTTTTCAGTTGTCTGTGGCCCCTCGCTCCTATATGTGTCCATGGGAACCCTGTCAGTGGTCTTGCTGGCCTGGCCCAAGGCCCTCTTCTCCCCTGCAGCCTCCAAGCAACTTTGTGCAAGTGGCACAGCTGTGGCTTTTGCCAGCTCTTGCTCCGTGTGCTCACCAGGGCCAGCCTGGAAATGGCTGGGGCTCACAACAGTCTGGGAGGTCCTTTCTTTCTTTCATTGTGGCTTCTCCTGCCTTCATGCACTCTGTAGATCTCTCTTCCTCTTCCCCTGAGCTCTAGCAGCCCTAGCTTGGCAGTCATTGCTTTTTAATAGTTGTAAATTGGTTGATTGAGGGAAAGAGTGATGCTGGTGGCCGTCTATTTCGCCATCTTGATCGGAAGTCCGGCCCTCAAATTTAAAGACAAGATTTCCTTCTATGAACTAACGAGGGACTTACATATCTCCTTTGGTTATATATTGATAAAAGAAATCCTAATTTCCAAACACATTCCCCTTAAGAATCATTTTTTTTTTTAGTGATTTTTTAAAAATTGAAACATAATTGATTGTACATATCTGCGGGGTACAGCATTGAATATCAATACCTCTATGCAATATATGATGCTCAAATCAGGATAGTTAGTGTATCCAACATTACACAATGTAATCATTTTTTATGGCCCTTTACCAATTTTTTGCTAACCCTGCCTTCTCCCTTTCCCACCTCTGGTGGCCTCAGTTCTGTTCTCTCTTTTTGAAAAGAGAAACATTTATTAGTCAAGATTATTTTTTATACATGTTTCCAAAAAGAAACAATATGTACTTTCATGTGTTCTTGGAATAAAGAGAATAGTCTAAACTGGTCATTGTTTTTCTGACTACGAAAGAACAAAAAAGTAAAGAAAATGAAATTAGCCTCTTATCCTGCCACTGGATATTACTATTATGAACATTTTGTCATATTTTCTTCCAGTTTTTCTCTTTTTTCCTGGAAGGAAATGTTTCTATTTCTTCACCTATGTGCTCACAGGTATGCGTACCTGCTAAGATGTCCAATCCCTTACACACGTCACCTCCACACATCTCATAAACACACTCTGAAACACACACCCTTTCTCTGCAGTCTCACGTCCACCTGTGTACCTCACATGCACACCTACACTGTCATAAGTGTACCCTCCCACACATCTCACTCCCACTTCTCTCACACAAACACACTTATTTGCATACATAACCATCTACATGTACACACACCTTATGCACAGATAAAGTCTCAGATCCACTTGTACTCTCTCACATGCATTCTCACATACTCTCTCACATTACCCCACCCCATCCCTCCTAGACATACACACTCATTAACATGCATACCCCACAGACACACACACATACACCAGCTCACTTTACCTCTACACCTTCACCTGCACACATACGTTCTTACATACTCCCTCTCACATACCCCACTCCCGCCTCTCTCTCTCATATATGTACTCGCTATATACTCTCATGACACACAGGCACACCTCTTCACACACACTGACACATTGTTTCCCAGATTAATAAAAATTACACATATTATTGCCAGAGGAAAACAATGTAAAGCTACAAAAAGAAAAAAAATTGATCATCTCTTCAGAACCTCCTCCTTCAGGTAATCCAAAAAATCGGTCCAATACATGGTATATGTGCCTCTTGTGTTGGGAACCTGTGCTTGAACACTGTCAGAGCCACACCCACACTCTTGTGCACCCTGCTTTCTATCTGCTAGGCTCACCTGTCCAGGCCACCTCAGGGATGCCTCTGACATCTCTTTGGCTTTGGCTAATGGGGAGCCCCAGCAGGAGACTGCCAGGAGGAGGAGAGAGAACTAGACTGTGCCCCTCTCTCCCCCATTGCACTCACCTTGGACAGGCTGTGTCCCTCGTCCAAAGGTCACTGCTCTGTCAAGAAGACCCCCTCTAGACAACTGTCTCCAGAATTTGGGTAACTGGTCTTCCTCTTGTCTCTTCAGGTCTACGGGTAGTAACAGCTCTCTTGTTGTTCAGAGTAACTGGGTTATCTCTTGTGGTTCTTACCCTTCCTTTTAAGGTAAAGCCTCCTTTAATTATCCTGATTCGAGTGTATCCTATGTTTCTTATTGAGACCCTGACTGATAAATAGCTGCACATCTTTCTTATGCCCCTAGAAACTTATATGTTTTTTCCAGAATGGGAGTCATATACTATATACACAGGTTGAAATATTACTATCTTTAAATTATGAGCATTTTTCAATGTCTTGAAATGTTTTAATATCTGCATAATATCCCATTTAATAAACATGCCATAATTAATTTTAGTATTATCCATTTTTGAAAATGCTTGAAATAAAATGATGCAATACATATTCTTTTATGTATAACACTTTTATTCAACTTTACGTTGCTGAAATTCACCCATATTGTTGTGTCTGGCAATGGTTAGCTCATTCTTCTTAATGCATAATATTCCATTATATGCATATACTAAAGATCACATATCTATTACACTGTAGAAGGGCATTTGATTAGATTCCACTTTGGACTATCATAAACAGTGCTGTTATGAATATTCTTTAATTATCTTTTTGTGAATATATATGTATGTATATACATATTCATGTCTTCCAGGCATATCTCTAAGAGTGGAATGAAAGGTTACCATAATTCATTTAACCTTGTTTATATTCAGAACCATTTAGCAACTAAGCCTTGGACATCAATACTGAGATGTTTTACACCACTGAGGGCCAAGAATGATCCTCCATTTATAGCCAATCTATGTATCTCGAATAACAATAACCAATTTCACTAATGAAAACCTATTTCAATTTTCTAACTATTAATCACCAAATTTCACAAGCAGAAAAGATCTAACATTTATTATTTGAATTAACCAAACCTACATTGCTGAATCATAGTCACCTTGATTAAATACTTACTCTATCTGGAGTATAAATTCTTGATTAGAGCAATTGACTGTCTCTAAAATGTAGCTTAAATGAACACATAATAATCTCACATTGTATATTTTGAATTTTAGAGTAAACTAGAAACACCTTAACACATTAAGGTAGGTAGGTTTTGAGAACAACATAATACAATTTTTAAAATAGCTTAATGTTGTGGGCAAAGTTCTATTTATCTAACCCAGTGTTTCTCAATGGTATGTTATTGGCATTTTGAATGGAATATATATATATATAATATATATATATATATATATATTATATATATATTTTTTTTATTAAGCTGAACTGGCTCATGAATTTGGCCATTTAGCATCCCTGACTCTGCCCGCCAAATGCACAAAGCCCTCCCCACCCCAGCAAGTATGACAAGCAAAACTTCCACAAAGTTCTGATCATGAGGGTGGGGGCAAAAGAGAGGGTATTGAGAACCACTGTTTTAATCAGCTTTTTGCTTGAAGTAGGCATAAAAGAGAGGGGGCAGAATAAGCTAAGGGCAATTTAGAACATTCTCAGCAAAAGCGGGCCCTGCCTTAAACTTTCCAATTGCTATCAGGGTTTGCAAGAAATGTCAACTGCTGTCTCATGACTTACGCAGAAAAGTTCTCAAGGATGAGTCCAGAGCTGTGCTATAGAATGAGTTTATGTAAGGTACAAAGTCAGGCTCACTGAAGTTAGAAGGGTCGTAGTTCAGAAGAAAAGGGAAACAGTGAGGTCAAACTGTGGCTGATGCAGACCGGGGGATTTCCCAGTAGCTTAGGCAAGCGAGGCTCCTGTGATCTAATCGCATCAGAATGCCCCTGTGCTGTCTGCACATTTTGACAGACATCACATCATCTAATCCTAAATCCCCTCCTCCTCCATGGCTCCCCACTGGCAATTCTCCCCACCCTGCATTCATTACCAAACGTACTTAATAATTTATTTATTATGGTTATTACTTATCTTCCGTATATAGTAGTAGTGCACAAGGCCATGTTGCACAAGGGCCAGTGTGCTGGTCTCTTTTGTCCGCCGATGTATTTCTATTACTTAGAACTCTGGCTCTCAATAAATGTTTCTCTGTTTTGTTATCCTTACTTTACAAATGAGAACATGGCCACTTGGAGTTACGCTGATACCCAGTCAGTGGTAGAGCCTGGATTAGAGCTTGAATGGTTCCATTTTCAAAATCATTTTTCTCCTGTTTCCAACTTTCTGCCCCTCACCTACCCC